ACATTGAAAAGACAGACAAATTTTATTAATATGTATCCTAGACTTCGAGTAACCACTGTAATCAACCCAAATACTTTAAAATAATGATTATACGAACTCATTTTCAATAATCTAATGCTAAATGTGCTATCGATACACAAATTTTCTCAAATGGGAGCAACAATGACAAAAGAAACACCTAACTTTTCGCTCTGCAGCGTCCGTATGTTCCAGAATGTATTTCGGAATACACTTATACACTCTGGAATATACGATGTTAGATTGTAGACGTCATATCTCGTCAACCCAAACAAACTTTAATACTCCGAAACGGTGCATTCCAAACAAGATGATTATTTTACAAATTCTGACAAAAAAAATTATTAATATTTTCATTTATATGGGTTAGTTTCCCCAAAATTAATGGTTGAATTAGGCATAAGTTAACCATGAGGGTGGAAACGGGGCTAATGACAGTAATTAAACTCCAGTGAATTTTGGGAACATATGGAACCCGAACCGGCCGCTGCTTTCGCCGGCGACAACACTTATTCATGGCCGGTGAAAGGCGTTGCTGTCTACGGAGCCGCGATAACAGCCGCGATGGCCGTCGGTTACGCCGCGCTCTATGTTCGGCCATCTGCTAAATTCAGAAGCAAAGTGGTGGGGATAATACCTGCTCGCTACGCATCATCCAGATTCCAAGGCAAGCCTCTCGTTCCAATCCTCGGAAAACCCATGATTCAGGTTTTTATTGTTACTAGGGTTTCTTCCTACATCATGTAACACACACATACGTACACACAAATTAATATATCAACAACTCTCGAATTGTGTTTACTTTAATTGAGAATTTACCCGAAGCTTGTGTTGATGATTATTTACACTTTCAAGGTTTAATTTATGTTAAAAATTTGAAGATCTTTTTTCCTAACTGTTCCTTTGGGTTTTATTGATTCTTCAGAGGACTTGGGAAAGAGCGAAACTTGCTACCACATTGAGCCGATTAGGTTTGTTTCTTTCTAGGGTTTTATTAAATATACTTTGTTGATTTTTAGCTGATATACTTTTAGGGTTTAGCATGTACTGTATTTTTTTGACTTTTAACTGATATAATATTAAATAATTTATATTGTTGTATTTAACCAAATTGTTGTATTTTGTTGAAACTTTTCAAAGAACTAGACATGTTGGAAAAAAGAGTAACCTAAGTTAGACAAATTGAAAAATAGGTCCTTACTTTATGACCTTATATCGCCATCCCTTGCACAAATTATTTGTCAAAATGGATCTATTAAAAAAGTTATCATCTACAATACAACAATTATACTCTTTCCTAAAAAGTTATATATATAAGCTATCTTCTTTTTAAGCTAGAAAAGCAATCTCAAAATCCACCAAAAGACAATTATACCCAACTTTTTCAATGAAGAAGAGCACGATAGAGACCAAATAGAACAAGAAATCTTTAAACATCCACCATCAAAACCGAGCTTCAATCAATTGAATATATTATTCAAATGATTATGATTATTTAGGATTCAAATGAATATATTTGTAGAAACAAATCAACAATCAAGGATAAGCAGTAAAAAAATTAATTATTGAGATAAATGTAAAATTACTAAACTGTCCCTAGCTTTAATCTATGTTGCAGTGGTGGCTACAGATGATGAGAGGATTGCAGATTGCTGTCATGGATTTGGAGCAGATGTCATAATGACATCTCAATCTTGTCGAAATGGTAAGGTTAAATAGCATTGATTTGTTTAATATAGCATCATATTTTCATTTTTTTTTAATTACATCATTATACTTTGAATAATGAATAATTTACTCAATTATAATTATAATTTACATTCCTATTTCTTGCATCAAATTTACAGGAACCGAACGTTGCAATGAGGCACTCCTAAAGCTTAAAAAGAAATATGATGTTGTTGTAAATATTCAAGGAGATGAGCCACTTATTGAGCCCGATATAATTGATGGAGTTGTCAAACTTTTACAAGTAAGTTACAATCACACTTCTGTTTGGTATGATGGAATGGAATTGTAATTTTTCATTCCATTCCATGGTGGGAATGGAAATGGAATGCCTTTGCATTTTGTAGGCAACCCCTGATGCTGTATTTAGTACTGCAGTTACATCTTTGAAAGCAGAAGATGCATGTGATCCAAATCGAGTGAAATGTGTGGTGGATAATCGTGGCTATGCAATATATTTTTCAAGGGGACTTATTCCATTTAACAAGTGAGTTACCATAATTACCCTTTTATTTAATTTTTTTGGCACAAATTGTTTAACAGAAGCTCCATGGTTGTTGATACTTGATACAGGTCAGGGAAGGTCAATCCACAGTTCCCTTATTTACTTCATCTTGGAATCCAGGTAAAGATTCAAGATTTTGGGATATTTTTTTTTTCGAAAATTGTGTAATTAGTGATTGAAAATTTTGAATCATCATATTTCACTTTTTCATTGCATCGTTATCGTGAAAATGCTGAAAAACACTACAATATAAAACTTTGGCAAAATACTGAAAATCACTTGTAATCTTTACCATTTTACTGATTAAACAATATAACCAGATTTATGAAAAGTCCAAGCTTTCGTCTTTTGGCAAGTTTCAACTTTTTACTAATGTATCAGTTTTCATCATTAACTTTTTTTGATAATACTAATTTGGGTCCACAAGATTCCATTATTTGTCCTTATCAAAGGGTATTTTGGACATTTGTGATATAGACATATAACGTAGCAATTGTCTTAGGATTTTGGAAAGATTATATAAATAAAAGTAAATTTATAATTATAATATATCATTTTCCATTAACGACTTGATGGGCGATTTGGTAAACAGAGTTATGATGCAAAGTTCCTAAAGATATATCCTGAGCTTCCTCCTACTCCATTGCAAGTAGAAGAAGATCTTGAACAACTCAAAGTCCTCGAAAATGGTTACAAGATTAAGGTACCATTTTGTCAAAAATACCCTTTTCATTTGACTATATAGCCAAATATCATCTTATAAGTTTATCTGTTTATTTGCTTTATATCATTTAATATATTATCAACCGTTTTAGTATATAACAAAACCTACCATTTTTTAATTTTAAATGGTAAGTTTGTTACATTCAATGATAACAAAAGTATGTTGTTTATTCAAATGGGACCCACAAAAGGGAAGAATAATGATGGTTTCATTTAGCAGGTCATCAAGGTTGATCATGATGCTCATGGCGTTGACACTCCTGAAGACGTTATAAAAATTGAATCTTTGATGCGCGAAAGAAACTTGTAGCTTTTAGGGTTAAATGCAAGAAATAACTACATACTTTTATTGATTTGATTATTATAGCATCTAATTTACATTTCTTTCTATTACAACATTGTATTTTGAAAAATATACTCAATTTTAGTATTGACGTCCAAATACAAATCAATTTTCACTGTTATAATTGGATAAAAATTTCAAAATATAATGTTTAAATAAGAAAAAAAAGTCAAACATATAAAACTTTAATTAAATAGATTTTTTAAATTATCAGTGGCTTGATAAGTTGAAAAAATTGTAAGTACAATGTTGCAATTAAAAAGACTATATTACATAAAAAAACACTATATTTTTTTTTTGTTAAAACA